GATCTAATGCACATGGCCCAAAGCAACCCAATCGGTATAGAGGCTGGGGACAAGCTTAGCTTGGCGGTGTGGGTTGCTCCAGAATATCTGGGCTGGCATCGGCAGCTCCTTTCGCACAGCTTACCTTGTTTCCATCAATCACATTGGTCTGTTTGCGCAAGTACCGCCTCATGGACGACGACTTGCCTCGCTTTTTCAGTTTGGGCTGGAACTTCTCCTGGGGATGGTTGGCCTCGTACTCAAGTCGTTGCTCCTCCACAATGACCTCTTTGGGGGCGCGATCGACGGCGCCGACAAGTTGGGATTCAGGGCAATGGTCTCGGGCTGGAGCTTGTCCAGCAGGCTGTGGACTTCCGACTCTTGTCGCTGCTTCTTTGTTTGGTAGGGGTTTGCTTCGAAGGTGTCAAAGTTGGGCTCGCCTGATCCTGGAATGACGATGCTCGAGATGCCCCTGCTGTGTCCGATACCGAGCACATCTTCATATGGGCAAAAGTTGAGATCCTGGACGACCGAGCCTGGCATCAAGTGGGTCATGTACGGCGCCTTTTGCTTTGTGATAAAGGCGTCTTTCCAGACTTGGATGTTGGGTCCGTAGCCCACAGCCAGCAAGCCCTTCTGACTGATGCTGAGTGTGGATGCCGGCGTGGCTGTAAAATACTCGTTTAGGCACTTGTATGTCCGAATATCCCAGATCTTCATTTGTCCATCCAGGCCAGAGGTGGCCATATAGCTAGGGTGCAGTAGCAGCGAGTGAGTGCGTCCAAGTTAGTTGATCAACACCCACACTTGGCCATAGGTTGCCGGGATTCGCCCTGGATACCATACGCGAACAGCCACAACAGCCACAAGACAAGCAACGGCATCGGCTTATCCTGACCCAGGATTAGCGACCACAGCGCCAACACAGCAACCCAGCTCCACAAAAGTCCAGATCGGCAGCTCGCAAACAAATACTCACTATCCGCCGCGATCGACTGCAATTGCTTGAACCGGGCCCTTATGGCACAGCATCTTGACCAAAGGTTCGCTCATCGTCGGCGACCACATCGTCACAGTGCCATTTGAGTGACCCAGAGTCATGATTCCGTTGTACGGATTTTGCGCCAGGGCATTGCAAGGCCCGAGCTTAGTCCGCCATTCAGCCACGAGCTTGCCAGTCGAAGTATCCTGATACAGAATCCAGCCCGGGGTTCCCACCGACACCAATAGAAAGTGGTACGGCAAGAAATCGAGCTTGTTGACGTCGATGTGCTTGCGCAGACAGTGGATTTCGAGGCCGGTGTTGTCATAGATGTATGTGTACTTTTTCTGAGCCACAGCAAACATGGTCTCGTTGTGAAGCCACTTGACGTCCCGAACGGTTTCTTTCAAATGAAGTTCGCAGCCAAGACGTCCTGTTTTCCAATCAAAGGTGGCCACATGGCCTTTTCGGCCTCCGATTAAAATGTGTCGGCCGTTGCGAGTGTAGTCCATAGCATAGGGGCCAAAGTCGGGGAGCTGCAAATCAAACATCTGCGTGTCGAGACATTGGTTAGAAATTTGGTCATCGGCTCGTTTATGACGACAGCGTGCCTACAGACACGGTCTCTTGACAGAGACAGCCAATATTGCTTCGTGTACCTTTGCAGAGGTGTTGATGTCTACGTGCTTGGAGATCTCGTCCTGTGTGAACTTGAAGGTTCGCTCCATCCCTTCGGCCTCGAGGTAGCTGTGGGAGAATGGCGATGCTCCAATGATCAGAACGAAGCATGGTGACGATTTGTTGGGCCCAGGAAGCTCACCGCCGACTTGGTCGTCATGGGGGGTGCACACCAAATTTGGCCACCTGGGTCCTTCCCTGAAACGCCGATTGCTGTGGGCACCAAGCAGATCGCGCAAAGCTTGCATCGGGTCACCGGACTTCGGCTATAGTGCACGTACCCAGCCTCCTCTGGCAGCAGCAGCTCGGACTGAGCAGCTTTGATTGACGCATCTTCGAATCGCTTGAAAGTCTTCTTGAGCGTACCCTTCAGCTTGCGATCTTCGATATTCTGGCAGTTCCCAAAAAGACATCCCGTAAGTACAGCAAGCCATGCCAGGACAGCGCTGCATCTGCAGCAGAGTGCGACAGTCGGCCAGCCAGTCAAGCTTGGCTGCAGCCCGGTCTTCGCAGTTCCGTACAGCCAGCGTGAGTAGATGCATGGCGTATGCGCGGCATGAGGGCTCTGCATTTCACATCGAGAATTATGCCTCATGCTCTTCCAGGCGACCCTGCTTTTCTTTGTAGCGCTGTTGCCGACGGAGCCCGTCGAATTAGGCCAACCCTACCTTGAGCGGGAGGGCGTGGGGCGTTGGGTTTCGATCGTATTTCTTGGACGCTTGAAGGTGTCGATTGGGCTTGGGCTGGGCCTTTACATCCCTCTTCTGTTTGGGGGGTTGGCTGCCCTTGGCTTTGGGGCTCGCCTCTGGCTGCGATCCAAAGGATTTGCGTCCAGACGAGGGACGGCTGTCTTTGGCGTCGGACATGGATGCCGTGGGTATGCGGTGCTGTGCGAGGAGGGGGCTACTTGTTGGTTCAGGCTCTCGGGCGTGCAGCACTCGGTCTTGCTCTGACGCTGCCTGGTTCTGCCTGGCTCTGCCTGGTTCTGCCTGGTTCTGCTTGATGTTGCTTGATGTTGCCTGATGCCGATCTCGTATCGTCCCGCACCACAGTCCCCACAACAGAAAAAAATCACACCCAAATGAATTTCATTTTGCTGCTCGGTGCTGGCCAATGGCGTTGCGCGCCGGCATAAACCACGTGCGCGAAACTCCGACTCGGCCAGGGCCAGGGCCCAGCCAACAAGCAACCCACATTCTGCCTGCAACCTGGACAACTGCCGTGCCGCAACCATGAGCGATAAAAGCAAGTCCAGTTACAACTTCAGGTGCGCATCGTTCACCCAGTGTGCAAGACACTTGTCCCGGTCGCATCTCGGGCTGGCGCTTGCCCGCCGTCTCGAAGGGCTAAACCCGCCGCCTTCGCCCTCACCACTCCAAACAGACAGAGCCTGTCCTTCCAGGCAGACGTGCCAGACTTTCTGAAAAAGCTGCACGGCCAGGCGTCTTTGAGACCCGAGACCACCGGAATTCTAACCAAAAACAGCAAGCCGGTCCCTCAAGCCTTGGAGGATGACGCCGACGATGACGGCCCGGCATACCCAGACGCCGAGGATGAGAAGCCACAGTACGTGCTTGAGAAGGGTATAACGGACCTCGAAGTTGAGCGTGAGCTTGGTCAAGACATTCTTGCGGCCCTGCGAGAGGACAAGCCGGATCCGGGCGAGACACAGCGTACTGGTGGCTCCGCCGGTGATCCATCCAGGCCCGGCGGCAGGGTCTCTGAGACCAAAACATCCAGCCTCGGGGTCAAATCAAACAAGATTCTGGAAAAGAAAAAGAAGATGGATGCAAAAAAGAAGGATCTACTCAAGGGTGTCAAGCAGGTCAAGAACAAAGCGCTGCTATCCTTTGACGACGATGAAGCATAGATCCAGCCGCCAGGCCGATGGCAGTGGCGTTGGCCGGCCACGGCTTGCCTCTCCCCTTCCCCACAGGATTGATTGGACTTTGATGTACAAAACCAACAATGGCTTTGATCCTCTGTCAGACTGTGAGATCGGAGCCTCTTCCCCGCCAGCAATTCCCACCGACGACAGCGGGCCCTTCGCCGATGCCTATCCTTGGGGAGCTGGCCACTGTCCGCTTCGGAGATTCTTTGCTCGCTCCAAACCCAAACAGACCCGAATAGATAGCCCTATTCCGCAATTGCCACGTCTGAGCTATCCAAAGATCATTTCCTGAATAGTCTGTTGGTTTGCGTTTGAGAGTTGATCAACAACGAGAAATGCCAAACCCTGCCTGGGTGAACCTGAGAACCTACGAGGCCGATCCTCCATTTGCAGTAAATGCTCGCTATCTCCTCTCCCGCTGACGACCCAACCGTTGCAATCAGCAAAGAGGCTCTCGGTTTCCCAGAGCACATGTGCAATGACTGATACGGCTCGGCCTTAGCAGCAAGCTCACTGGCGTGCTTTCTCGTGTCGCCAGGGCTGGGAAGCTGAATGGGACGACCAGAAACTCGAGCGACTCTATCGGAGCGACAACCTCGGCGACACCAAGCTCAAGAAGATGGTGCGGAGAGGAATCCCGGACTCGCTGCGAGGTAGCCGCCTGAGCCATGCGTACATAGCTGCCCCTATGCTGCAGCTTGGTGAGCCAGGGCTTCGAATCGATTACGGCAGCGTCTGAACATTCTCGTCCATAGGCCATGTCTATGCAAAGCTACTGAAGCTCGGCGAGCTCGATGGTAAGTACATTTCAGGTGAAACAGTCTCTTCCCCTGACAGCCCTCCCCCCTGCCTCTGCATAGCTGCTTCATCCAGATCCATATCCAGACCCATATCCAGATCCAGACCCATATCTAGATCCAGAGATGCAAGCTCGTTCCCATAGCCGGATGGGCGCGTGCCTGTGGCAAGTCCTGTCCATTTCCCTCACTGCTGATGATATTCCTCCGGGTACTTGATCCAGAGCATGACCGGAACTTTGAGATTGCAAAAATGCGGGTGTACGGCGAAGGAGCCATGACCGACAATCCGATCGCACCGACCTTTGGCGGCCGCTCGTTTCGGTACAAGTTGAGCCTGAACAACGCTGGACGCACTCAGATGGAACACATCCTTTGCATCCTGGCCTACGACTTTCCGAATCTAGAATACTGTCCGTTCGTGCCGGCGCTGACGGCCATGCTTTGTCACCACATGAACTCTGCCGACGATGCCCTCGGCGCCATGGTGTGCATAGTGCGCAAATCGCTCGGAGAGACTCTCGTGACGGCGCGGAAAGGCGTCTCGGATCGATGGGAGTTTTTCCCGACATATCGAAAGGAGGTCAAACTCATGTCACGGGCTTTTGGGAACATGCTCTACAAGTGCCTGCCCAAGGTTCACGCCAAGTTAGTCGAGCTACAAGAGAGAGACGAGAGCCCCATTTGGAGCTCGTGGCTATCGGATATGCTCGCTGATGTTCTGCCTCAACCGATCCTGTGGCGGCTCTTGGATGACTTCCTGGTCGAGGGCTACAAGCCGCTCTTTCGGTTCTGCGCCGCCCTGCTCAAAATTTACCAGGGCCAGATTATGGAAGCGCAGACTTCTCAGCAGGTGCTGGCCTTTCTGACGCCGCACAACATCCTCTGTTCGGCCAACGAGGTAGCCGAAGAGGCTTGGATGGTCAAGTTTGATCGGGCGAACATCACCAAAATGCTTGTCCACCACCGGAGCCTTACAGCAATCAGCATATCGGACGACTTGCATGAGATACAGTACAAGTATCAGCGGGCTACTCCGCGCCTCAAGGAAACGAGCAGCATTCTGGATGAAGACCACTGGATTGCAGTGTGGTCGTGGATTCCTCCAGCGCAGCGGGTTGTGGATGTCGAGCTGCTCTTTACGACATCACGCCATGGCTATCATATATCCACCCTGTTTCATAGTGCCAGTGACATCAAGCCCACTCTCCTTGTCGTCAAGACCTCAACCGGCGAGATCTTTGGAGCCTACATTTCGTCAGAGTGGCCTACCTCCCACGACCAACAGGGAAGATTTTCTGGAAACGGTAGGTTTGAGCCAGAGTCCTTGGGTTGTCTTCATGTCTCGACCCTTGGCCCAATGGCCGAGCTTGGCATGCATCCGCGATGGCAATTTTTGCTTCGCGGTGTTGATGGTTGCGTTTGAAATAGCTCTTTCGACGACAAGATCTTCTGTGGCTGGCTGTATGACTCTCATCCCGCTGTCACTTGTCTGATCACCCATAGGCGAGTCGTTTCTGTTTATGCTGGAGCCACGAGCCAAGATGTATCCTTGGGTCGGTCGGGATATAGAGTTCATGGACGCTATCGAGCGAGAGATTGTCCAGAGCCAGGCATCCATGTTCATCATGGCCACTCGCAAGGATCTATCCATCGGGGCTGGCGGGTAAGGATGTTGCCGTGCGATCCACCCATAACATGCACATCCCGGATTGCTGGCCATGATCGTAACAGGCTGGCCATGGTCGTGACAGGCTGGCCGTGGTCGTAACAGGCTGGCCATGGTCGTAACAGGCTGGCCATGGTCGTAACAGGCTGGCCATGGTCGTAACAGGCTGGTCGTGTGTGTGGGCATCGCCGTGCCACATTCCCATGCTCATCCGCCCCATCCGTTGTTTGATCGCCTAACGCAGGGGCGAAATTGGATTGTATTTGGACGAGACCCTTCAAAGGGGAAGCACTGGCCCGTGCATGACCTTCGGCAACGACCCTCTCACCGGTTCAAATGCCCGATTCTTCGAGACCCACAGCGTCGAGCTCTTTGCTTTCCTCTGAAGAAGTGGCATTGCCCAGCGCAAGCAAATGAAAACGGGGCATCCTGTTTCGTCACCCACCAGCTAGCATTTGGGATGTGCACGGCAATATACTCATAATGACTATCTACCCTTGGAAGCAGGGCAAGATGTGCCTCCAGTCTTTGCCCTCTGTGAACATCGCAACCCAGCAACGCCAATTCAGTCTCACAAAAAGACTCCATCGCTTGAGTCGATCCGAGTGGGCGCTGCATTGACTTCTGCACCTAGCGAGGACGTTGGAGGCACAGACTCTGGGGGAGCGGGGGCAGAGGAACGGACAGCAGGCCCAACGATCTCGCCGAGGCAGTCTTCAGATCGATGGGGCCCCGATAGCTGCATGATCTTGAGCTCGATGGCTTTGATTGCCTTGCTCTGACGGTCAATGACAGCAATATTCTCCGAGATGGCCTATGGTGAGCATTGGCGCAATAGGGACAGAGATGTTGTTTCGATGCGTGAGCCGGCGTACCATCGATCGTACACCCCATCCGATCATCGGCATGGGAATGCAGACAACGGCTTGCACAATCGCAGATTGTAAGGCCAGTCCGCATCGCCCCTCCTTCCTCTGGCCACAGAGAGCTCAAACCTCCAAGAAATCTGGGTCGGTCTCGTCTGCTTCCCGCATCTCCTCGTTCGACTTGAAAAGAAAGGCCACCGAACGCTTCAGCCGCTCACGCTCGTTGTGCAGATAAGCGAGATCGTCTGCGACCGCTTCTGGCAGCGAATAGAGCGCCGAGCTGCGATCTTGTTGAGGGTCGGTCGTGGGCCCCGATGGCCGCGGGGTGAAGTAGATTCCTGGCTGGATCTCCATGGCCGAGTCGATGATCGGCAACGGGCGATTCGGACGAGTGTTTTGGCAGGGAAAGAAGACAGAGCGCACTTCCCGTGGCCCGCATTGAAACGGGGCACTTGGCTGACATTGGCATCCAACCCCTCTCTCACTCTCCCACCTTGATCCTGGCAGGCATGGCCCAGACAGCAAGCACCAGCAGCAGCATCACCGACGCCGCTGTCCGCCAGCAGTGGATCGAGTACGATTGCAGCATTAGATCACTTCCCTCTCCGCCCCGCGCTTCACATACGCTTCGGCGGCTATCTTCACGACGACCGGGGCTGGGTCGATGTCGGCGTTCATCGTTATCCCGATGCCTGCCGCCGCCGCCGCCGCAGTCCTCAATACCATCATGATTATCGATCGTGTCGTTGGTGCATTCGGGCACAGCAGTAACATCTCCTCTGCTTCGTCTCACTTGTCCATGCTGCTCATACCAAGAGTCCAGGCCCGACTGGCCAGCAGCCGCACAGCGACCGACGATATCGCATTCTCAGTACCGCCACAGGCCGACGGCCCCTGGCAGGGGCTCCGTCTTATTGGTGGCGTTGATGTTTCCTTTGTCGAAAACACCGACGAGGGAGTTGGATGCTTGGCCATTTTGGAGTTTCCTTCGTTCAAGGTGAGCAGCCCATCGACGACGCCCGCGTGGTGGTGGCAAAGCAGAGTTCGGACAGGAATCTGGCTGAAAGCTGACGGTCGACATGAACATATGGACTCCATTCGATTCAGGTGTTGTACACAGACATGGTTCGAGGTACAATCGGAGTGGCCCTGAATGCATCTCCGACTCCAAAGGCCCAAGAGCCCTGGCCATATATGTCAATACCAATCTTGCTCAAACTGATCGGTCTTGCATTCGTATTGCCGTTGTGCGCCGCTCGATCGGTGGACTTGAAGTCACCCTCAGTCTTCCGTACATTCCCGGCTTCCTTGCATTCCGAGAGGCCTCAGTCTTTCAGACGCTGCTTGACAACCTGAAGCAACGAGCGCCCGAACTCTATCCCCAGGTACGTCAGCTACTGGGACGGAGCCAACTCCAATAGCAACGACTTGTTTGCGACTAGAAGCTGACTGAAATACCCGGTAATCAATTCGCCATCCTAGGTCTTGTTCGTGGACGGAAACGGCATTCTACATCCAAGAAAGTTTGGCTCAGCGTCAGTCGCCGGCCTGTCGTGCAGTGATGCTAGCGTATACTCCGTGCCTCGTCCGATATCCATTGTCCAGGAAAGCTTAGCGGCTGACCCCAGCGCTGCGTTTCGACATGAATTGGTATAGCTGCCATCTTGGAGTGCTTGAGGATATTCCCACGATTGGAGGTGAGTCGGCCGTATCTAGTGACGTAGGCAATGTTGGACCGGATATCCGTAGTTCCCGCCGGAAGACTGAACGCCATATTGGGCCACAGTCGGCAAGAATTTTCTTCAAATTAGTCATGAAAATCTGCGCATGCAAGAAGTCAAAGCTCGTCGCAATGAGCTGAAGCAGGCCGGGGATTATTTCGACATTATCGGAAGCTCTGGATTCATCTATGGCGCTGTATGTCTGATGGCCACACACATCGATGTACTAGCTGTTGCAGCTGAGCGGGCACCAAAGTAGTATGGCTCCATCCTCCTGTCCTATAGCCAATCTTACTAATCGCCGAGCACTGTTATTGGCCATCAGGCGCTGCGCGCTTCGAACGACTCCATCAATGCCATCTATGTCTCTCCAGGTGCGCTTCAATCCAGCTGCTAAGCATCTTCAGCGAGCTGTGAAACTGGCGACAGTTGAGCAGATATCGACGCAGGCTTGTAAGCGATTAATTCGTCAGTTCCTACTTGCCTACATATTCCTGGGCAGGCCATCGTGTCTCACACGAAACTGCAATCAAGCTGACCATCCGTTGCTGTAAATTCCGGGTTCCTGAACCTATCCGAGCCGCCGACGGTCTCTCCAGAGCATATATCCGTGCCCACCCAAGCGGCTGAAGCGACTGAGCAAGCAGCCGAGTCCTACATCCATCGGCTGGGGAGCGCTCTTATCGGAACAGATGCGCTTCGAGCCCAGTCCGTGCAGCCCTCTCAGCGAGCTGCAGGCCATTCGGAATCCAGAGCTCGCAGCGATTATTGAGCGATGCTGGCCATGGGTTTCGAGTGACTCGTTGAATAAACAATGGAACACATTGTCTCGTTCGGACAAAACCACGACGTAGTCGGATCCTATCACCCACCCGGCCAACAGCGGCCAAGTGGGTCGAGTCATTCCCCTGTGTGAGGGAGATGCATGGAGTGAGTGGGCACGACCGGAGCCAACGAGTCGCTGCAGATACAGTCACTGCAAGTCAGAGCAAGAGAGCATATCTGAGATGAGGGAGGAAGACACGGGGCAAAGAGCAAATCGCGGGAGGAGCGGATTTCATGAAGTTCGGGTGCCGTCCGATTCACACAACCCACCCCATTGCAACCGTGGCCAACAATATCCAAGGAGACGAGTTCGTCCATGTGGCGTGCAACATGATCATAGTGCGAGGGTTGGCTGTGGAGACCAGAGAGCGACCCCGAGGTCTTCTCTCGGAGGTGAACTGTCGAATTGCACATGGCCTGTTGGACGCACGCCATCGAATCCTACGATGGCATACTGGTGTTTCGCTTGCTCATTGGCAAAGCGTATTCAATACACCATTTTCCAACCGCTGCGCCATGCTCTATCGTTGCAGCCCCGACACCAAGGGCACACGCATCGCCCATGGCATTGCGGTGTGTGGCAGGGTCGGCAGCGCGCAGGGATTGGCACATCTCTCCCCGGATTTGGTCGCGGGGGACAGGGCGTTGCACAAGGGCGACACATTGGTGGTGGCGCGCAGCAAGGAATTCTGTGCGGTGGGTTGGGGGTGTTTGTCCCTCCACAACAACAGCGCGGTGGCTGGACTGGCGAGACGACGATTGCAACGGCGGCTATTAAATCGCATCGAGGGGGGGCTGTCGAAAGAGCCCGCTATGACAACATGTCTCCATCATCCAGACAGACTCCCATCCGCACGCCATCACCGACCCGCTGCTGCGAGCCAGCAGTCCTTGGCCCGCTTCAGGCGAGGGGACCAGGCAGCGTTCTTGGCCAGCAAGCTCTTCGTTGTTTCAAGACGTCCTTGTCGACTCACTTTCTTGGACAGCCGCAGGACATCCAACGGCCACCACTGTTTCACAGCATCCACCCACCAAGAAGCGGGCCGGCCCAGCCCTCGCTCCAAGCCCAACCGCCAACGCCGGGCGACGATCGGCCTTTGCCCCTTTGCCCTCCATCGTCCGCCGATCTCCCAACGATGTCGCAGCTCGCCCTGGTCCTCCTGCTCGGCCTGGCGACCTCGACGGTCTCAGCCGCGGCGGTTCCTGGGTTTTCTGCGCCCGTGGTGCCTGCGAGCGATTTCAACGTCTGCAAAAGGTACAGGTTTGCAGCTTGAACGTCCCATCCACCAACAGCACAGAGCCAGAGTGCGAGCAAGACAACCGCTGCAGACCAGCGCGGTGGTGCTGATCCTGCCACGTCTCTGTTTAGCTATGTTCCGACAACTCCTGGAAGCTGGCAGAGCCAGTGCCTCAAACCCCAACAAACCACCAACTACAAGAACCACAACTGCGGCTGCTATATCCCAGTTCTCAGCTGGCTTCAGAACTCTGCCTGGTGGAACACCTGGGATCTTACCTATGTAAGCCGATACCGATCGAGGGACACGCTGGCGCTGATGCTGTTGCTCATGCGATTGTTATTTGGTGGGCGAATTGCTGGGGGACAGAGCGGCCAATGGGGTGAAGGGTGTGTTGTCAGCAGTGACGAGAATGAAAATCTTTGGTGGTGGACTCCATGTTGGTCCTCGGAGCGGCGAACTCAACAGTCGTTGCTGACGCATGCCGCAATCCCTACATCTTGGATACCATGTCCATGGCGATCAGGACACATTCAGTCAAGCTGAAGCAAACTGCTGGTCCGGGTCCAATAGTAAGTGCTTTTGCCTAATCAATAATGTGGCGAATAACCCTCCGAGCGGCTTGGGCTTCATCAACCAGCTACGCTTGGAAAGTTTCGGCTCGGAGATGCAGATTTACTATAGAATGAAATACGGTGTCGACCTGTCCACGGTTTGTGCCGGTCCAACAACGACATCTCGATCGGTTTCATCAACTTCGTCGACAACGACAACAACGACAACAACAACGACGACGACGACGACGACGACGACAACAACAACAATGATGACAACCATCGCACCTGCTCCTTCGATGAGCACATTGACGAGTTCCTCGGCAACCACCACCACCACCGAGCCAACTCCTTCCACTTCCACCACTACCACCGAGCCAACTCCTTCCACATCAACTACTACTACCACCACCGAGCCAACTCCTTCCACATCAACTACTACTACTACCACCGAGCCAACACCTTCCACATCAACTACTACTACCACCGAGCCAACTCCCTCCACTTCCACTACTACCACCACCGAGCCAACTCCTTCCACACCAACTACTACTACCACCGAGCCGACTCCCTCCACTTCCACCACCACCACTGCCACCGAGCCAACTCCTTCCACATCAACTACTACTACTACCACCGAGCCAACTCCCTCCACTTCCACCACTACCACCACCGAGCCAACTCCTTCCACATCAACTACTACTACCACCACCGAGCCAACTCCTTCCACATCAACTACCACCACTGCCACCGAGCCAACTCCTTCCACATCAACTACTACTACCACCACCGAGCCAACTCCTTCCACATCAACTACCACTACTACCACCGAGCCGACTCCCTCCACATCAACTACCACTACTACCACCGAGCCAACTCCTTCCACATCAACTACCACTACTACCACCGAGCCAACTCCTTCCACTTCCACTACTACCACCGAGCCAACTCCCTCCACTTCCACCACTACCACCACCGAGCCAACTCCTTCCACATCAACTACTACTACCACCACCGAGCCAACTCCTTCCACATCAACTACCACCACTGCCACCGAGCCAACTCCTTCCACATCAACTACCACTACTACCACCGAGCCGACTCCCTCCACATCAACTACCACTACTACCACCGAGCCAACTCCTTCCACTTCCACTACTACCACCGAGCCAACTCCCTCCGCATCAACTACCACTACTACCACCGAGCCAACTCCTTCCACATCAACTACCACTACTACCACCGAGCCGACTCCCTCCACATCAACTACCACTACTACCACCGAGCCGACTCCCTCCACATCAACTACCACTACTACCACCGAGCCAACTCCTTCCACTTCCACCACTACCACCGAGCCAACTCCTTCCACATCAACTACTACTACCACCACCGAGCCAACTCCTTCCACATCAACTACTACTACTACCACCGAGCCAACACCTTCCACATCAACTACTACTACCACCGAGCCAACTCCCTCCACTTCCACTACTACCACCACCGAGCCAACTCCTTCCACATCAACTACCACTACTACCACCGAGCCGACTCCCTCCACATCAACTACCACTACTACCACCGAGCCAACTCCTTCCACATCAACTACCACTACTACCACCGAGCCAACTCCTTCCACATCAACTACTACTACCACCACCGAGCCAACTCCTTCCACATCAACTACTACTACCACCACCGAGCCAACTCCTTCCACATCAACTACCACTACTACCACCGAGCCGACTCCCTCCACATCAACTACCACTACTACCACCGAGCCAACTCCTTCCACATCAACTACCACTACTACCACCGAGCCAACTCCTTCCACTTCCACCACTACCACCGAGCCAACTCCTTCCACATCAACTACCACTACTACCACCGAGCCAACTCCTTCCACATCAACTACTACTACTACCACCGAGCCAACTCCTTCCACATCAACTACTACTACTACCACCGAGCCAACTCCTTCCACATCAACTACTACTACCACCACCGAGCCAACTCCTTCCACATCAACTACCACTACTACCACCGAGCCAACTCCTTCCACTTCCACCACTACCACCGAGCCAACTCCTTCCACATCAACTACTACTACTACCACCGAGCCAACTCCCTCCACTTCCACCACTACCACCACCGAGCCAACTCCTTCCACATCAACTACTACTACCACCACCGAGCCAACTCCTTCCACATCAACTACCACTACTACCACCGAGCCGACTCCCTCCACATCAACTACCACTACTACCACCGAGCCAACTCCTTCCACATCAACTACCACTACTACCACCGAGCCAACTCCTTCCACTTCCACTACTACCACCGAGCCAACTCCCTCCACTTCCACCACTACCACCACCGAGCCAACTCCTTCCACATCAACTACCACTACTACCACCGAGCCAACTCCTTCCACTTCCACTACTACCACCGAGCCAACTCCCTCCACATCAACTACTACTACCACCACCGAGCCAACTCCTTCCACATCAACTACCACCACTACCACCGAGCCGACTCCCTCCACATCAACTACCACTACTACCACCGAGCCAACTCCTTCCACTTCCACTACTACCACCGAGCCAACTCCCTCCGCATCAACTACCACTACTACCACCGAGCCAACTCCTTCCACATCAACTACTACTACTACCACCGAGCCAACTCCTTCCACATCAACTACTACTACTACCACCGAGCCAACTCCTTCCACATCAACTACTACTACCACCACCGAGCCAACTCCTTCCACATCAACTACCACTACTACCACCGAGCCAACTCCTTCCACTTCCACCACTACCACCGAGCCAACTCCTTCCACATCAACTACCACTACTACCACCGAGCCAACTCCTTCCACATCAACTACTACTACTACCACCGAGCCAACTCCTTCCACATCAACTACCACTACTACCACCGAGCCAACTCCTTCCACTTCCACCACTACCACCGAGCCAACTCCTTCCACATCAACTACTACTACTACCACCGAGCCAACTCCCTCCACTTCCACCACTACCACCACCGAGCCAACTCCTTCCACATCAACTACTACTACCACCACCGAGCCAACTCCTTCCACATCAACTACCACTACTACCACCGAGCCGACTCCCTCCACATCAACTACCACTACTACCACCGAGCCAACTCCTTCCACATCAACTACCACTACTACCACCGAGCCAACTCCTTCCACTTCCACCACTACCACCGAGCCAACTCCTTCCACATCAACTACCACTACTACCACCGAGCCAACTCCTTCCACATCAACTACTACTACTACCACCGAGCCAACTCCTTCCACATCAACTACTACTACTACCACCGAGCCAACTCCTTCCACATCAACTACTACTACCACCACCGAGCCAACTCCTTCCACATCAACTACCACTACTACCACCGAGCCAACTCCTTCCACTTCCACCACTACCACCGAGCCAACTCCTTCCACATCAACTACTACTACTACCACCGAGCCAACTCCCTCCACTTCCACCACTACCACCACCGAGCCAACTCCTTCCACATCAACTACTACTACCACCACCGAGCCAACTCCTTCCACATCAACTACCACTACTACCACCGAGCCGACTCCCTCCACATCAACTACCACTACTACCACCGAGCCAACTCCTTCCACATCAACTACCACTACTACCACCGAGCCAACTCCTTCCACTTCCACTACTACCACCGAGCCAACTCCCTCCACTTCCACCACTACCACCACCGAGCCAACTCCTTCCACATCAACTACCACTACTACCACCGAGCCAACTCCTTCCACTTCCACTACTACCACCGAGCCAACTCCCTCCACATCAACTACTACTACCACCACCGAGCCAACTCCTTCCACATCAACTACCACCACTACCACCGAGCCGACTCCCTCCACATCAACTACCACTACTACCACCGAGCCAACTCCTTCCACTTCCACTACTACCACCGAGCCAACTCCCTCCGCATCAACTACCACTACTACCACCGAGCCAACTCCTTCCACATCAACTACCACTACTACCACCGAGCCAACTCCTTCCACATCAACTACCACTACTACCAACCGAGCCGACTCCCTCCACATCAACTACCACTACTACCACCGAGCCAACTCCTTCCACTTCCACCACTACCACCGAGCCAACTCCTTCCACATCAACTACTACTACCACCACCGAGCCAACTCCTTCCACATCAACTACTACTACTACCACCGAGCCAACACCTTCCACATCAACTACTACTACCACCGAGCCAACTCCTCCACTTCCACTACTACCACCACCGAGCCAACTCCTTCCACATCAACTACCACTACTACCACCGAGCCGACTCCCTCCACATCAACTACCACTACTACCACCGAGCCAACTCCTTCCACTTCCACCACTACCACCGAGCCAACTCCTTCCACATCAACTACTACTACCACCACCGGAGCCAACTCCTTCCACATCAACTACCACCACTGCCACCGAGCCAACTCCTTCCACATCAACTACTACTACCACCACCGAGCCAACTCCTTCCACATCAACTACCACACTACCACCGAGCTAACCACGACTTACCACTACTACCACCGATGCCAACTACCTTCCACATCAACTACCAACCACTGCCACCGAGCCAACTCCTTCCACATCAACTACCACTACTACCACCGAGCCGACTCCCTCCACATCAACTACCACTACTACCACCGAGCCAACCCTTCACATCAACTACCACTACTACCACCGAGCCAACTCCTTCCACATCCACTACTACTACCACCACCGAGCCAACTCCTTCCACATCAACTACTACTACCACCACCGAGCCAACTCCTTCCACTCAACTACCACCACTGCCACCGAGCCAACTCCTTCCACATCAACTACTACTACCACCACCGAGCCAACTCCTTCCACATCAACTACCACTAATACCACCGAGCCGACTCCCTCCACATCAACTACCACTACTACCACCGAGCCAACTCCTTCCACATCAACTACCACTACTACCACCGAGCCAACTCCTTCCACATCAACTACCACCACTGCCACCGAGCCAACTCCTTCCACATCAACTACCACTACTACCACCGAGCCGACTCCCTCCACATCAACTACCACTACTACCACCGAGCCAACTCCTTCCACATCAACTACCACTACTACCACCGAGCCAACTCCTTCCACATCAACTACTACTACCACCACCGAGCCAACTCCTTCCACATCAACTACTACTACCACCACCGAGCCAACTCCTTCCACATCAACTACCACCACTGCCACCGAGCCAACTCCTTCCACATCAACTACTACTACCACCACCGAGCCAACTCCTTCCACATCAACTACCACTACTACCACCGAGCCGACTCCCTCCACATCAACTACCACTACTACCACCGAGCCAACTCCTTCCACATCAACTACCACTACTACCACCGAGCCAACTCCTTCCACATCAACTACCACCACTGCCACCGAGCCAACTCCTTCCACATCAACTACCACTACTACCACCGAGCCGACTCCCTCCACATCAACTACCACTACTACCACCGAGCCAACTCCTTCCACATCAACTACCACTACTACCACCGAGCCAACTCCTTCCACATCAACTACTACTACCACCACCGAGCCAACTCCTTCCACATCAACTACTACTACCACCACCGAGCCAACTCCTTCCACATCAACTACCACCACTGCCACCGAGCCAACTCCTTCCACATCAACTACTACTACCACCACCGAGCCAACTCCTTCCACATCAACTACCACTACTACCACCGAGCCGACTCCCTCCACATCAACTACCACTACTACCACCGAGCCAACTCCTTCCACATCAACTACCACTACTACCACCGAGCCAACTCCTTCCACATCAACTACCACCACTGCCACCGAGCCAACTCCTTCCACATCAACTACCACTACTACCACCGAGCCGACTCCCTCCACATCAACTACCACTACTACCACCGAGCCAACTCCTTCCACATCAACTACCACTACTACCACCGAGCCAACTCCTTCCACATCAACTACCACCACTGCCACCGAGCCAACTCCTTCCACATCAACTACCACTACTACCACCGAGCCGACTCCCTCCACATCAACTACCACTACTACCACCGAGCCAACTCCTTCCACATCAACTACCACTACTACCACCGAGCCAACTCCTTCCACTTCCACCACTACCACCGAGCCAACACCTTCCACATCAACTACCACTACTACCACCGAGCCAACTCCTTCCACTTCCACCACTACCACCGAGCCAACTCCTTCCACATCAACTACTACTACCACCACCGAGCCAACTCCTTCCACATCAACTACCACCACTGCCACCGAGCCAACTCCTTCCACATCAACTACTACTACCACCACCGAGCCAACTCCTTCCACATCAACTACCACTACTACCACCGAGCCAACTCCTTCCACATCAACTACTACTACCACCACCGAGCCAACTCCTTCCACATCAACTACCACTACTACCACCGAGCCAACTCCTTCCACATCAACTACTACTACCACCACCGAGCCAACTCCTTCCACATCAACTACCACCACTGCCACCGAGCCAACTCCCTCCACATCAACTACTACTACTACCACCGAGCCAACTCCCTCCACTTCCACCACTACCACCACCGAGCCAAC